AAACCCTCATATCTTTACAAAAAATGGTCACAGGTGAAAGAATTTTTTTTTTAATTTCTACTCATGACAACAATAATTTTTGAATGTTATAAAACAATTTGCATCAAAAATGGCTACTTAAAAGTTCGAAATTCGACTGAAGAAAAAACCACCCCGAGCACAATTATTCCGTTATTTCGTTACGAAAGTCGGGACAAAAAAACTGCTCGTATCAAGGCGAGCCTCTGAAAAACCCGACTGCCACGATCTCAACTATTTATTGAAAAATTGAGATTTGGCAAACCTATCATTTTTGGGCATGTCATATTAAAATTGAAGCGTTACAGCTTGGGTCGTGAATTTGAAAAACAAATTAGTTGCCTCAATTAATTTTGCAACCAATTTATAGTGCGGTTTAATTCACCACGCGTGCAAATTTTAAAACGAACAGTTTAGAAAGATTTTTGGAAGGCTGCTATGCTGCTATGGTGTTGTGCAAATACGGCTGGGCCCATGCACATCAATAGATCGATCCAACGAGAGACCAGAGTTTTAAAATTGGTGTTAATAAGAAATACCGCCCAAGGGTTATATACCGTCACTTTCTTTGAAAGCCGGAACAAGAGGAATGCTTGTATCAAGGCAAACCTTTCATTGTTCCGAGTCTTTTTAAAGCTCTATGGAAGTGTTAGTGTTCAATATTATGGATATGCTTTTTTTCAAAAAACAGTCCCACACATGCACTGTAGCTACAAAGTGATATAAATCCCGTGTAGCATAATAATAAAAGCAAATAGCATGCAAAAACTTGATTTGGAATGATCTTTAGGACAGGTTAAATCTCCATTATAACTTAACAAAAAGATCACAAGTAAAATAATTTCAAAAAACTGAACTGAGATCAACAAAGGTTGGTATTAAAAAATCCGTCAAAATAGATTGTTAAAAAACCAAAATATGTTTGGAGAAAAAACCACACAAAGCGAAAACTTTTCCTTTAAAGTTGAAACAAAAAATGGAACTGATTTAAAATTAAAAATAAAAAAATGTTAGCCATGCAGTTACAAAGTATAGAAAAAAGCTACTCCTAGAATTTTCATACATTTTTTCAAAGGTATGAAATCGAGAGTACCGTTTAAGTGAGTTTGATGAATAGAACTGTTTGTCAGCTTTCGTATTTGAATTTTTTTTTGTCTCCTTTTGGTGAAATCAAAGTTTTAATAATAGAAAAATTGTTAGCATCGAAATTTATTTGACGAAAACTTTAACTGGCAGAAATTCTTTTTTATCAGTTACATCGGAAGTGTAACATGTTCATTGTTTTTCTATTCCTTTTGCTCGTCATTGTTTTTGGTATCATAAACATAAGGAATTTAGAAAAAATATATATTTTCTTCATTTCGAACTTACGCTGTGCGTCACATTTTTTCGTACCACCTTAACACAAGTAATTTCATCAATTCAACGCAAAAATGTGCTAACTTTTTTCGTACTTCAGAAATGTTCTAAAAAAGTCATTAATAAACATTATCTCCATTTCTCGTAACACATGATAAGAAAAGACTACGCAACAATGAGAATAGATTTTTAACATGTTCAGAAAGATGCAAGTTCAAGTGTTCTACGGCTTCAAAAATTCTTTCTTCCAGTTCTTGTTTCTGTTCTGGTTGCGAAACATCATAAATCCTTGAACTCGACTTGCTCTACACGTTTTTAATAATGTTAAGGTCCGGGCTCCTGCTGAACCAAGGTAGAAGCTTGAATACTGCAATTTTTCCTGTTGCAGAACGAAATCATCTGGGAGAATTTCTCTCATTAAAGGGATGGCAGTGTCTTTCATAAGCTTGATGTAGGTGCCTGAATTTATTCGACCAGATATCGTTTTTACAAAAATGTGAACGGTCGAAAAAATCATACCCCAGACCACCCCTACATTGACGTTTATTGGGGGTATAGGGGAACCACCCCTACATTGACGTTTATTGAGGTAAACTTGATGATTTTCCTCCATCCAGGAACACCAGTTGTCGGGTCGGTCTAGGTTAAATTTTTTGCATCCGTAAAGACGACTTCATCCCAATTTTTGTCGCTTAGTCAACCATTCAGTGCAGAGGCGTACTCGGTTTTCTTTCTGTTTTTGGTCAAAATTATCGTGAACTTTGCATTTTTGTACCTATACCTCATTCTTGATAAAACCCGACGAACCGTTCTTCTGCTGATTTTGAGGGCTGTCTCCCTCAGGACATTTGAGGCTGTCACCCTTTCTTTGCGTTTTTCCTGTAGAGCAATGCATCGCTTTATACAGTTTTCTGAAGCCAACGGCCACATGTTTGTGTCCCTGCTTTGCTTTCACTCTTGAGTAGTCATTCTTCATCATATAGTGCACTCTTGATCATGGTAAATTAGGTTCTTGGCTGATTCGGTGATATGAAAAACCATTTGCATATTTTTTTTCGCTAACTCGATAATCTCGCGCGAGTGCAAGTCAAAAACTGATTGTCAATCAAGTTAGGACGGGTACCTGCTAAATCAATTGAAACAGAACCATTGCTCGCAGTTTGTGGCATTTTTCAACAAAAAACCCAAGGGTACGAAAAAATTTGGCCAACTTTTTGTCTTTAGTCTTTAAACAAGTGTTTACCATGTATTAAGATGGTACGAAAAATTATGAAAAGGAGTGTATAAGTTTTATGTACGCTACAAAAAAACCGGAGATTTCCTTTTTTGTCATCAACTTCAATCGCTTTGAAACTGTGAATTTGAGAAGACAAATCAAAATAAAGCTCCCTAATTTAGTCCAGCAAATGAGTTTTTAATTAGACCAAATGAGGTTTTCTTAAAAGACGAAATAATAAATCACAAAATTATAGTGAAATTTTTCTTTAACCGCAGTTGAAATATTTTAAACTTAAATTCGAACTATTTTACTGTGACATTCTTTCTGCTTTTTTAAATTTGCTCAGATTATTCTCCATTTTATCTAAAATTTACAAACCGCTATATAGTCCGTGATAAAGAAAAGAAAAGTTTAGAGAAAAACTGTTTTCAAATTAATTGAGTTGGTTTTCATGCTGTGTGTTAGTATCTCAGGAGAAAACTAAAACTGTTAAAACTTTTTAGTGAGTCGCAAATGAAACGAGAGTTGGACTACACTATGTTGAATTAACTAAAAATTACACGATAAGTTTTTTTTAGAGATTCATTTTTAGTCTAATATTATGTTTTGTTGCAGATTATTTTAATGCAGAAAACTCCTTCATCCCTCTTTTCTTTCCATAGTCTCAAAACAGACCGCTTTTTTCAGCCAGCAAGCTTTATGCCACATTATGGGAACCAGAAAGAAATTTAAAACAATGTTACTGTTTTAATTAAGTGCGTAAAAAGTGAAAAAATGTGAGAGTGATTATTGAAGTTTTGTTTTTGTTTCCTTTTTTTTGAAAAACTGTATTCATTTAAGTCTTCATATTTTTGTAGCTGTCCTAATAAGGTAGAGAAAATTTTTTGTGCTGCTCAACTACATTAAATTATCCGTAGCCAGCTTTTCACCTCAACCGAATTCTTGAAAAACTGTAGTCATATACGCCTAGTCAGTTTTAAAGTTTTGTTATGATTGTGGTAGGAACTTACTGACCTACTTTACAAAAAACCGGCTAACCTTTTTTTTTCAATTCATCCAAGCAAAATCAAGTGTCACAACAAATTATCGATCAAAAAAGATTGAGTGATATATCATATTGTAGAATCTTAATGTCTCATTCTAACGCCATTAAAAATAATCTAAAATTTTTATCTCAAAATTTGTTTTCAGAGTCAGTTTATTCGGGCTTTATTTATTTTCAGTTTGATTATTCTGAGATTTGTTACAAAATGTTGTTATGTAGAAAAATAAACCGTCTCTTCAAACACAAAAATGACCACGTATTTTTGATCGATGATACTTGTACCAGACTAGACGGACGAGATGAAAACATGAAGGCAAAATAATAAGAATTTTTCCTAAATATGCACGAAAATATTAAACAATTATGCCTACTTATTTTTTGAAGTTTTTCTGGTAATGTGATCGGATATTTTGGTGCTACTTCACCGCAACCGGCTATCCAGTTTTTCATCCCGCAGCCGAATTTGTGGAAAAAAAATGTTAGTCAACTATGCCTAGTCAATTTTTGTGGTTTTCTTTTTAAGGTGGTCGGAATTTCTGAGCTTCTTCACATCTACTTTTGTTTGTTTTTCAACTCAGTTTTTATGCTTAACAAAAAAACCTCAAGAAAGATTGAGTGAAACTTCATGTTAAACCTCTTACACTTCTGATCCAAAGGACATTCAATTTTTTTCTAAATATTTTCTCGGGTAAAAAAGGTTTCAAATAATTTCTGATATTTTCTGATGTTTTAAATTGCAGTATGATAATGCAGGCCCGAAAATTGATGTTTTAATTGTCCAAATTTCGCTCTGATTCTGCCAGTATAAGTAAGTAGTACGTACTGTGCTGCTGTTGAAACTTTATGACCCGTTCTCATCTATCAGTGCTAGAAACTTCTCAAAAAACGACTTGCTTTATTCATTGCATTAGACAGTGTGTAATGAATTTTGTACTCCGTCAAAGCTTAAAAAGGTAGTGTTTTGTCAAAACTCTTTGAAAAGTTTAAAATTTAAGAGCTTCGAGAATTCAAAAAAGAAAAATTTTAAGGACATTAATTTGGCTTTCTTGTTGTTTCGACCAAGAAGAGATGAGGAGAAACTTATCAATTGTTGTTTGCAAGTGCTTCGGTAAATTGCATACCGTTTTGCGGAGACAAAATTATAATCAATTCTTTTTCATCAGGAATCAAAAATTTCAAAATTGCTGACCTTGATCTAAAAAACTTATCTCAGAAAATGTTTGGCAAAAAGGGCTTTCGTGTGGTCTTGTGAGAACATGGAAACTCAATCGATCCTAATAAAATTGTTTTTAAAACTTACATGAATGTGGAAATTCTTGCAAGATTTAATTGCGCTAATAATGCGAATAAAACACCTACCTATAGCCAAAATTTGGAGGCCGATTTTGAACACCTTTATGATTGAATGCCTTTCATTCTCTGAAACTGAAAATTAGCTAAATTAGACTCCCTTTATTTCGGCGAATTGAATTTGATTGAGAATGAATTTTTTTGGTTGAATTGTTTGAATTTTGAATGCTCTGAATTGTGGCAAACAAATTGGTCCAAATGCGTATAGGGATTTTCGAGTTTTGAATTTTTGGTCAGTATATTAATTTGGTCCTGATCAAAAGCATAATTAAAGAAGACGAGAGCCCAGGAGACTGATATTCAAAAAATAATGATTTCCACCAAACAAAAAGCTTTCCTTTAGAAGAAAGAATGGACAATTCAGTTTTATTGGCACCTTAAAAATGGCACTATATTCTAAAATTAATTAAAATTGAGCCTTAATTGATTCTTCAGATCTGTAAATCAAAATAAAGAAGTCAGACTTACAAATTTTTCAAAAAAGTGCAGCAATATATTTTAAAAATATTTCTCCCCTCGAATGCCAAACAACGTTAAATCAACGAATGGAAGATTATCACCGAAAGTTTGGTCTTGAAATAAGATAACTTATAGAAAACCAGATACGAAAAACTGATGTCATAGAATCAGTTCATTTTTATTCCTCTAAGTTTCCGTCAGCGGAAAAACAAGTTACAGTGATTGGCCTAAAAATGACAGACAAACTAATCTAAATTGACAAAGTTTTTTTTTCCATCAGAGCTGTTTGAAAACGTACCATTTGATTTAATGACGTTCTCTCAGGCTTGACACTGGGTTGTAAATAGTAAATTGTACGAGAGCTTTGTACTTGTCTGATTGTGAGACTGAAAACAGTTTATTAAGATAAATTTTATTTTATATAATAATATAGTTTATCCACCAACAACAAAATTGAAATAGGTTTTTGATATGAAAATTGAAACCAGACTGCTCCAATCAACGCGATGCCCTTGAATGTTCCGTTGCCATTTAATGTCTATGGAGTAGTGTTCCCTTTGAAAAAGAAATGGATAACTTTTCAGATTTTTTTTTTGAGACAACCTTCCCCCCACGCACTATGTTAAGTCAGAACTAATCAGGCTAATCAGGCCTCGAAGAAATTAAATATTGAAAATGAATCAGAAGCGCTCAATATAGAAAAAACAGTAAAAGAAAAAGCTAACAAATAAATTCAATCAACTTGACTGAAGTCTTATTTTTTTTTGAAATGGAGAGAAATGTAGCAGAACGTCAGATGGGCGACTTAAAAGACAGTTTTTTGTATTTTTCAAAAATAAGGTCCCTCAGATGCCATCATGACCAACTCGTTATAGATATAAATCAGTTAAAACAAAAACCTTTGATTATTGCGCTATGCGAAACCTGGCTGTGTGATAATGATTATCTGAATCTCTATCATCTTGATGGCTACCATCCCTTAATTTCTAAACACCGGAAATATCCACGAGGTGGGGGATGTGCGTTTTATGTGCGCGACGATGTGAATTTTCAGTAAAACAGTGTAGAGGTTAATTTCGAATGCATCAACATATCTATCGTGTATAAATCAGTCAAGACTAATATTTCCGTTGTCTATAAACCCCCACAGAGCAAAAATGAGATTTTTTTGAATCACTTTGAGAACTATCTTCTGTACTTAAATGCTTTGAAAGCTAATTTTCTTGTTTGTAGAGATTTTAATATCGAAACTTTAGATTGCAAGCCAATTTCGAAATCTTATATTAATCTAATTAAAAGCTGTGGTGCTCATATTTTGAATAGAGATACATCTCGCATTACTCCAACATCGAGTAAATGTATTGATCATTTAATTGCTAATTTCGACGCCAACGTAAAAACACTGGATTCAACTATTTCTGATCATTTTCCCGTATTTTTATCAGGTTACGTGAATGTTGATCCGCAAGAAAAGCAAGATTACTGCTAAAGAAATCTTTAAAATCTTTACCGTTCCTCTTAAAATTTTATAAGCTTAGTGATCCCAATGAGAAATTATGTCTGTTAGTTGAATCTATAGCTTCATCAGTTGATCGTTTTGCTCCCTTAGAAAAATCGAAATCAAAAAAACAGTCATGGTACCGATTCAACCAAAAAGATCCTCAAAAACCGCGATCGGGTTTTCAGTAAGTGGGTAGAAAATCCTACTGAATTGAATAAATTGAAATTTTTTCAAGCTAGAAATTTAGCAACCAAGGTAATAAGAAATGAAAAAAGAGTTTATTACGACAAGAAAGTTCAAAATGGTAGAAATTCGAAAACGCTGTTCCAGGCCTTTAATGATTTTTGTAAAGGAAACTCCAAAAACACGAGTTTTTTTGCTACTGAAGTTTTTAATGAATTTTTTTGCCTCAATTGGCGAGAGACTGAGAAATCCTGAATTTGATTACAAACAAGCGTTGGGTTATGTAGATCGCATCAAAAAATCAATGTTTTTTCTTGAAATTACCCACAAGGAAATTGAAAATGCCATATATGTTGAAAAATAAAGGTTCAAATGGTCATGATGGCATAAATAACAAAATTATAAAATTATCGCTCCCTAAAATTTCTGTAAGAATTTGCAGCCTTTTCAACCAATGTGTTGAGAGTGGTTATTTTCCTCAAGGCTTAAAAGTTGCAAAAGTTATTCCCCTTTTCAAGGGAGGTTTAAAAGAATCTTTGGAAAATTATAGACCTATTAGTTTACTCAGTTTTCTTAGCAAAATTTTCGAAAGGATAATATTCAATAGAATGTATAACTTTGCTAACAAGCAGAAGATTCTTTATGAAAAACAATTTGGATTTCAAAAGAAAAAGTCATGCGTGGACGCATTAATCGAATTCACCGAAATTATTAGAGAGGGATGGGACAAAAAATTGGTTGGTCAATCAGGCCTTGTTGATCTCAAAAAAGCATTTGATACCATAAATCATGATCTTCTTTTGGCAAAATTGGAAAAATACGGCTTTAGAGGCCGGATTTTTTGTCTTCTGAAAAATTACTTTGCAAACCGGTTTCAATTTGTTCAAATTGATAATAAAAAACACCTTCTAATCACTCTATATCATGTGGAGTACCACAAGGGTCGGTTTTAGGTCCGTTTTTGTTTTTAATATATATAAATGATCTACCGAAAATTGCTGAAGGATCTGAGGTTGTTCTATTTGCTGATGATACTACAATATGCAATGCAGAAAAAAATTGTTGCGATAGCTTTGATAGTTGGTTAAATAAAGTGGATAAATGGTTCAAAACGAATAGACTTTGTGTCAATCCTGGTAAAACTCAAATAAAGAAATTTGGTAAAAACTTTTCAAAAGTTTTCCTTGCTCTTGGTACTACAGTTCAAATTACAAATGTGTGTAAATGTTTAGGCATTTTTGTTGATAAGAAACTCACTTTTAAATTTCACATTTTGTGGCATTGTCTGGAAAGCTAGGTATGTTTTTTCTAAACAGCATATGCTTCGCTTCTACAAAGCATATGTAAATCCTACAATCACTTATGGAATTTTAATATACGGCAATACATCCCAATCTCATCTTAGCGAGATAATGAAACTACAAAAAAGAATCTTGAGAGCAATTTTTTTCAAACGTAGATATGAATCAATTAAAGAAATTATGGACGAAAACAAATTGCTTACTGTTTTTGATTTATACTTTTTTGAGATCTTTAAGTACTGGACAGAAAAAACGGTTTTCTGTCTCAGATTTACTCCCAAAAAAGTGGACCATGTATCAGGAGCAAAGCGAAATTAAAGTGGCAAAATTTTCTACTACCGCTAAACAGAGATCGCTTACAGTTAGAATTGTGCAGGCTTTTAACTATTTAAAGCAAAATGACTTGATACCTGTTAATATACATGAAATGTCAAAAGTTAGTTGTATGAGTCTCTAAACAATTTTTTCAAATTTACCTAAAAGACAATCAAGGTCTCTATAAACTGTTTTTTAATTTCAGCCCTTATTTTATTTTGTTTGTTGAATTGAACTCCCTCCAGGCATAATATATTGCTTTCGTATTCTTAATTTTTTCAAGGCAATTATAACTTGCAAACTACCAGATGTACCCGAACTCAGAAAAAGGCTACTTTGTTTTCCAATAAACTGGACTCAATAGGAGAACTATTTTGAATAGTTTTGATGCGCAGAAAAAAACTGGCTTCATTTTTGTCATTTTTATATTTTGATTTTTCTATGAACAAGGAAACCTGAGAATAAAACTCTCTATATATAAAATTCAAAATTCAGAAGAATTTTAACAAATATAAGCAAATATAAAACTTTCTTTAAAAGGTTCGAAACTCTGCATTAGAAATTAGACTCATAGCATCAATTTCTGAAAAATAGTGTGTTGCTGCACAAAGATAAAAATAGTATAGAATGCTCCATTGACACCAGTCTGAAAAATGAAAAAAAAAAACAAATAAAGAGTCCTAAGTTGATTGTGAGAGGGGATCTAGTTAACAATTGCCACCCCTTTCAAGAAAGGGGGGGGGTCATTGTTAAGTAGATCAAAATGGTCGATTTTTCGACCAATCAGAATGCAGCAAAGTTAAAACTCTCAATAGAAATCTCAGTGCTAATTTACTGTATTTATTTATAGCAGTAAAGATTCTTAAGTAGGTACCACAAGGGGAGAGATTGTTAAGTAGATCCGTGAGAGGAGATTGAAATATACAAACTTTTGCAATTTAAAATCATATAACTAAATATAGAATTCTCAAAAAATCTTTATATGAAGTTTGTATACGAGGAAAATATCATACCAATGCAATGGATATTTTTTATATTAGGCATATTGGAACAAGAGTTGAAATGCTCGGTAATGCACTTTACTTTTGAGAAATACTTATTTCCATAAAGCTAGACGGCTATAGAAACAAAGATGATCCGTGCTCAATTAAATGCAAACTCAGAAAATTTAACAAAAACTTCATATACATTTTAACAAGACTGCTCGTATCAGGGCGAAGCCCTGGATGTTCCGACTGCCTTTTAATGTTTTTGGAGCAGTAATAACCTATAAAAAAAATTAAAGGTAATAAAATAAAATGAAAACTTTTTTTCGTCTGAAATTTGAAATTTTTTATGAAAATCATCCCCCCACACGCCATATTAAGAACAAAAGGATAAATTTTGCT